TAGGGCAACTTTTCTACTATTGCTGCAACTCGAACTCTCACTGCGTCGTTAATGCTACTAGGTGTCCATATTTATCTTACTAGTAGTGACAGATATTTAATATTTGAACTGATAGTTGGAGGGTGCAAGTACTATATAGATAGGAATACTAAAGACAGTAAAGTGGAAGTGAGCTATAAGTGCGGTGCTCAAGGACAACGGTATACAAATACAGTAGCAAGCTGATACAGTAAAACAATAGAACAGTCCAATATAGCGCAGCAGGAATGGTGCAATATCATTGGTAATACCAGCGATTTTAATTCATTTATTCCAGAGGGAACTGTGACCACTTTAGATCAAATAAGCGCGTAAACATGCACGTGCGAAGTCGTCTGCAGGTAGGGATGACAGTGCAGACGGCCTGATTAATGTCTGTCAATATCTGACGACTAAATTTAATGTCGAGCAGCCCGACTACCCGTGCTTCTGCATCGTAGACTCGGCTTCTTGGATGAACCGTTTAATTTTTCAAAACCTATTGTCTGAATATTCGCGTGTATTCATAATGCCCTAGGCAGTGCAATAAGGATGTAGTATGATTCACTCTTCCTAGTTCCGATTTTGTTTGTCTGTCTTCCGCATCGTAGAGGTCTTTGGAGGGCTCCAGGCATGTTTGTGTCTTCATGGCAATGCTTCCCGAGCAACATGTCAGTCATAAAAATCAAAGTGGGGATTCCAGGAAGAATATTCCCGACGATTGTAGATATAGAAGCGTAGAAAAATGCGTAATAGAACACTGGATGATAACCTGCATGCCTTCCTGCTGGACGTAATGACTGCCTAATTCGCGTGAAAAGAAAACATGCTAGTTACTGACCCGTTAAAACAAAGTAGCCCACATATTCAAACGGACGCGAAACGGGACTTCTTAGCATTTTTATAGAATGAAATCCTGTTGAAAATATGCTGTTCGCTTAGTGTGGTAGTAACTCTTGTCATAGTAGAAAGGTGTGCGCACACTTAAAAATACCGGTGGTTTATGTAATCTTCTCTCGTTCTTTGTCATCTCTTTCGAAATACTTCGGTAAGCTAACTGTGCAGTTGCGCAGGTTAGGTTTATCCAATTCCCTTGATGGTAATTGTGCAGAAGAGTTCTACTAATAATTTAGTGTAGTTTTTCACAAGTTAGGCTTTCCCTGAAGGTTATTTAAGGTTCATTAACCGCAAACACATCCTCCCTGATA